TAATAGCCACCAGAACCTGATTCTCTGGTGAGTACTGCCTGCGCAACAAATCACACACCCTACTAAGACAACCACAGACCACTAGCACCAAATCGCTGCCCTGCAGGCCTACTATACCCTCTGTGCTAACATCTGCAGCCACTGTACGCACTGACCCGCTTAAGGATGATGTCTGTACTACTTTGGCCAGGCGCTGGCAGCCAGCCCTGTCCATCTCTACTCCGCAATGCTTTGACAGCGTCGACCACGCTCCTTAAAATACCAGTTAAACGTATCTCTTAGTCACTCTCTAGCTACTGCCCACTGCTACTGCATGCCAAATCTATTTTTTCACCTGAGCCAAACCCCCTAAGCAGATCTCCATAAGCAAGACTGTGAGACCACCTGCACAGTCTAAGCGCCACTTGTAACCGCCCGCTTTTAAAAACTCGCCACGACAACAATCCACCTCTGCATACATAGCAGTACCCACCACTGTCAACAACCTCGCGGCCTCTCACATAGACCAAGCCTACAAAGTATGCAGAACAAGGAACCATCAACCAGCCTACAGACACTTACACTCACAACACCAGCGCATGGACAAACCGCAGGAAACCAGCAAGCCAAAGCCGGCCCCAAGCCCTCGACCCCCTCCAGGCCTTCACACATCCAGCGGTCCACCGCCGAACGCCCGCAAAGACGGCCCCATCTATGCCTCACGTAAGCGCTCCCACCCAACCACAGCTGACACAAAGCTAACGACTCAAACTCCAGCCCAACCGTCCACTCCCCAGGGCCCATACCAGCCCCGCACACCTGAGAAGCCCTTCTCCATACAGTCCCGACTCCCACCGCTCTCTACCAATGATGAAGACGATGCTACTGGACCCCAGACACTCCGTACCGGTCGAACCAACCGCTCTATGCACGCCGGCTCCTAATCACAAAATGCGACGCACACCACAGCACACTCCTCCAAGCCTCTAACTCCTGTACAGGCACAACCAGATGATGACACGGAAATGGCCAACACCGGCAACCAACAAGAAGGGCACCCCAGAAGCGCCTCCTCCAATGAGGACCTGTACCTCAACAACAGACAGGTTGTCACACTCGATGAAGCCATCGCCGCCATGCCCATCCCAGATGTTGGCCTTCCACCCGTATGCCTAAGCGACCCCAACTACCTACACCACAGACAGCTCCGAGAACAGCTTCTCGACTGGGAAGTTCTCCCAGGCTACGTTGTCTTCACCATCCGCTTCTGCGCTACCTTATGGACTGATGAAGGACAGACAGTCTTTCTCCTCGAGCAGACACTCCACGACCTTGGGTTCACCGTCACTCGCGTCGCTGCCCCGTGTGCAGATGGTCACCATCGCTCTGATAGCCCGTTCCTATATGCTATCTACAACCTGTCCCAGCAGGACCACGACACTCTCTTGGACCGCTTCTGCTGGTCCACAGCCCCATGCACCTTCTTCTGCTGGCCATCCACACCCCAGCTGCTCCTCACATACATCGGCCAATTCTGGGGCTTCAGCACCTATGAAGAAAGTGCTATCCGTGGGGTTTTCATTGCGGAATTCTCACGTAGTAAGCTCGCACAACTGCTGGCCTACCTGTTGTCAATGCACCCCCATTACGCCGACATGAAGCGAGAACAGGCTATCAGACGCCTGCTCCTGACCATTCAAGTCACAATACTTTGGATGTCTGACTCCAAAGGACACACATCCTGGCCACTTGTCAATCTCTACATTGGCCCCCTGATGCTGGACAACTGAACATGGCGTGAGTTTTGCAATGCCGTAACACGTCACGTCTTTGCCCATAGCATGTTTGGCACTGGCCGCATCCACACGAACATAAAACTGTGCCCAGGATGCCTCGGAGCCGACCATCTGCTTGGCCACTGCCTCTACCCCATGCTTGATGGCTGGCTAGGCCCACCACCCACCACAGTTAACAGAGAAGCAGAGCTGCTCATTCCTGCCCACCTGCTGCGCACCAATGACGTCGAGACCTCAAGCTCCTCACCCCAACAGCATGGAGAACATAGTGAACACGGTCGCGGCCGAGGCCAACGT